GGGAAGCAGTCGCGCTAAATCCCAACTGGGAAGGATGCAAAAGGGATTGGGTAGGAGACCTAAGCAACAGGGCGATAGATGGCGCCTTTGGGGCAGTTGCGCTAAACCAACGATGTGTTTAGACGTCGAATACGAGAAAACGCGTACTTCAACTCCCAAAGCCCTTCAGCTCACCATTTCGGACGTGGTAGGGGTGGTAACGGCAGCATACTTCGTTACCATCCGATTTCCATTCTGGAGTGCATACCAAGCAGCAGGGCTCATGTCCCTCGGGGAACATTGGAGTGAGTGGCCATTTACAGAACTTGAGACTAAGCCTTAGGGAGGAGGAGTCATTTAGGAGAAGACGTGAGTAACCTTCCTTCTCCTTGGAATTTCTCTCCTCTCCAGGACTTACAGTTAGTCCTACTTCACCCAGCAGTTTGCAGCTGTATCTTCTTGCCTTATCGTATCGTATCTTGCATGGGGTCGCGCTCGTTCCAGTTTTTCGCTTATCTCAGCTCTCATCTCGACCCCTTCTGTCAAGAAGCCGGTGCGTGGTACCCCCAAATAATTGTAAGTAAACACCGATACGGCTACTCGACATGCAGTATACTTTCGGATGGAAGTCGAGTGATAATGGTATCATTTGAAGCATACTGCCGTTATCATATTTCCCCTGTTCCCAGTAGTGGCCGCAGCGTTGATAGCGCGCTTTCTACCGCCCGAGTGCCACATGTTATTTGCTTGGGCACGTCTACCCTCTCCACAAGCCATCTATGCCCACCCATGAGATCCCGATTTATCACGATTGCTACATCTTAGGTACATTTTGCTAGAGTAAGACGTTGATAGCATAAAGGAACAAACGAGAAGCTGTAGATGCTGAAGGTCCTGCATGTGAAAAGCCGAAAGTCTTGGAAACTACGAAAAAGTTCCTTTTTGCATTAACTTCTAGGCATCAGATTGCATTGAAGAGACAGGAGCTCCGGAGGAGCAATGTCAAGGGGACTTGCGAGACGCAGACATCGACGCACCCGTCAAAAGAGCATTCATTCCAGAATATTATTTATGTTTGTAATCGTGCGTTATTACAGGGTCGTTATGCCACTGGAGAAATCCCAACCGGCACGGCCTCCCTGCTCCTCACCGTCCTCTATGCTCTCGTCTCCGTTCTTTCCCCTCGGCGCGTAGTTTCTCCTGAAAGCCAGTGTCAGACTTGACGAATCCAGCTAGCGAATCGCGGGGGTACGAGCGTTGCACCACTGGATCGAACTATGTATCAACGGATCGAATGATCTACCAGCGACTGTTTGAAGGTGGCGGGACTCCCTCTCGTTGCACGTTGTCTCTCGCCACTTTCCCAAGCTCTCATGCCTCTCATGCCCTCGTGAGCCCGGGAAAGTGGCGAGAGCCAACATTCAAAGGAGTCCCGCCACTTTCAAACAGTGTCGAGTCGCTGGTACATCGTTCTCGCTGGCGCAACGCTCGTATCCCGCGATTCGCGAGCAAATCGCAGGATTCGCAAAGTCTGACACCGGCCAAGTGCGTTCCGAAAAGCCGTCCGCTCGTCTAGATCCGCTGGCTCACGGGTTCCTCATCGGTAATACTACCTATCTCTCCTAAGAGAGCACAAGCAAGCCGTGCGGTTCCTGCCACTCCCCTCCCCTTTCCTTCCGATTATGCTTGCATCAATGGCGTGGCCTAAAACCCACTCACTCCGAATGTTCTGTATGAGGTGGGACCACATCCTCAGTTCCTGTTATTGACGTCTGCTATGGTCCACGTCACTTCTCAAAGACGAGGCACCCAACCAGTTGTTGAGGGAGCAGATCCAGCTTATCGAGAAATGTACCTTGAATTTGAATGTCACGCAGTTATCGCTCCAATCGTACGTATCGTAATCCGTTGATGTTGTCTTCTTTTTTAGATTTTCCTTTATAATTGGCAGATTTCACTAGAAATCTGTAAAGTGGAATGGAAGAGGTGAGCCAGTTGTACATTACTCATATGCAGGGTTCAAATATAGTTATTTTTTTAGATTCTCATCCCAGAAGGTAAAAGTCTTCGGTATCGATGTGGACTCGAGGGTTGCATTTGTGATAAGCACTTTTCTGTTATGTCTCTATTGGAACATTTCGCTTCACATTTTGCGAAGTCGAATGGGTACTGCAACATTAGGTACTACATTCCTTGATTCTGTTACTTGTCGTTATTAAGGAACAGTCATTATAATTACCGCTGTTGTGGCTGTGGAATGTACTTTTACACTTTGGGAATGACCGAAATGTGCAGGTGCAAGAGCAAGAAGGACGGTGTGAGTACTGTTTGTTAGGACTATGTCCAGGTTTTTTTTTCGCACAGTGATCACTTCTCATTCAGAGACTAGAATTGGTCCGAACAGATTTGTCGTTGGCTGCGGCTAGACGAGATATCCATTTCTGCTCATATCTAAAACGCTTCATCATCCCTGTATTGGTTAGCGATGATCCTTCCACGAATCATCAAACTACGGGCTCGAACGCATCAAGAAACCAAGCGAACACGAACAAGTCACGAGCAACTCCCAGAACTCCAGTGGATCGTTCCTGGACACCCAGGGAGCAGGAGGAGCATGACGATTCTCGAGGTAACCCTAGGATAATTCGTAGCTAGGCGACCATGCAGCGGTGACACGAAAATGTAATTTCATATTATCCTTGCCGCTTCGAAGTCAGAACATGTGGAATCCGCATTTATGGTTTTGGGGCCTAGGCCGCTCCCTGACTTTGCAATTTTGCGAGTTCAGTACACTCACAGAATCACATCTAGCGATTCCAACTGTTTCCACCTCCGTCTCGTCTTTTTGCCTTGTTCTCACTTTATCATGACCTCAGTGCCTCGCCTTATGTAACTACGCGCTTTCGTAACATTTCTGGTAACAGTACTCAATTGCTTGATCAGCTTGGTCGTATGCGAAAGCGCCACATCAGTGCTATAGTTAGCGTGCTCTCGTGCAAAATCGATAGCTCGACGGTGGGCGCTATCGATCGATTTTGCCGTGTTGTCTGCATGGGGTCGCGTGCGCATGGTATACGCCATAATGAACTACCTGGGGCTGTTTCAGGAACAAGTCCATCTATTTCTAGCTGCAAATAGCACTCAATAACTATTGAGCTCCTAGGGTGCTTTCATAGCCGGTCGTCCGGTTGTAACGATAGCATAACATGAGGTACGTATCGATCGCCGGACATGAGGATCGACCGGACAATCGATCTTACCTAGTGCTGTTCGACTTTCACGATCTTTACGATCGGACGACCAACTTTGAAAGCGCTTTACTGAACTATTATAGCAAATGAAGTAACAAGAGTGTGCTTCACTAGGACAGAAAGCGACTTTTTCGCGTTTCGCAGCGCGAAACATTTTTCGCTGCGGGAACCCGGGTCCACTCATGATCAGCGGTGGACCTGAGGTTCCCGCAGCGAAAAAGTCGCGCTGCGAAACGCGAAAAAGTCGCTTTCCGTTCTAGTGAGCCACATCCGTGTTCCGCTCGCTCATGGGTTCGTGATTGGGTCAACGGACTACTTAAACTCGGTCCTTTAAGCCGCCTCAATCCGATGCTCCTTGGGATTTGAAGCCGAGTCAGGCGCCGTTCTCTAATTGTCTGTGCTCTCTACAATTCGTGGCAGGACCGTAGAGGAAAGTTGGTGAAACTCGGGTTCGGGGGGGGGGCACGCGATGGCGCGGTGCCGTTTTCATCCGCTCTACCAGCCGTAGTCAGCAGCGGCGCAGTGTTTTTGGACTGCCACTGCGGAATGGCGGACGGAGTTACTGTCTTCTGTGGACTAAGCTTGGAGGGATTTACGGACTACTTGAACTTTCTTCCATGGTCCTGCCACGAATGGCGGAGGGCACAGACAGTTAGAGAACGGCGCCTGGCTCGGCTCCAAATCCCAGGAAGGAGGTGAGAGCCTAGGACTAAGCCTTGTAGGAGGGAGGGACTTCGAGGTGGGTGAGCCAACTACAGTGTGGCAAAAGTTTGAATGTGTGAGATCACAATGGTCATGAGCCGCTGATAAGGTGAGAGAGCGCAGACGAGAGATGGATCTGAGGCGGCTTAAAGGACCGGGTTCAAGTAGTCCGTCAACCGCCTCTGGAGGAGCAGACGAACAGAGCGCCGCGGCATCGCGTGCCCCCCCCCCCCCTCCGCGAAGCTCAGATTTATCCGGAAAGTTTAAGGTAACTTCCGCTAAACCTTCAATGAGCGGTATTCAATCTTCCCAGAGGATCGTGACGTTTGTATGATGCAATTCGCTCCCAGCTTATGGAGGGAGACAAAAAGGCTTGTGTGTATGGACACTCATAACAGTGGTGCGTTTCTATCTGCCAGCAGATAGGAGCAGCCGACCACCCTCCACTGTCAAGGACTCTTCCCTGAGGGGTCGCGCTGCCCTGTCTGGCAGATAAAAACACAGGCGGTCCGGGTGTGGTTCACTAGGACAGAAAGCGACTTTTTCGCGTTTCGCAGCGCGGAACATTTTTCTCGCGAGCGGGAACCTTGGTCTAGTCGCTTCCTGTCCTAGTCAACCACACCCTGGCGGTCCTATGACGCAACCCCTTTTTGTCCCCCGGAGGATTGAATCAGATCAGGGACGCATCCCCGGTTGACGGACTACTACAATGTGATCACACATTCAAACTTTTGCCACACTGTAGTTGGCTCACCCACCTCGAAGTCCCTCCCTCCTACAAGGCTTAGTCCTAGAGCTCCCACTCCTTCCCTGGGATTTGGAGCCGAGCCAGGCGCCGTTCTCTTACTGTCTGTGCCCTCCGCCATTCGTGGCAGGACCATGGAAGAAAGTTCAAGTAGTTAAACCACGCATCCCCTGGAGAAGGATTGAATATGGTCTAAATGATTGATAGGATTTGATTGCAGGAAAATAATTTGAACAATCTTCAGACATGAACGTGCCGATGATGCGGTCACCATCGATGTATGCTGATGGTACACCTCGTACTCCGCGAGAGGATGACGAAGAAGAGGAAGCCGAGTATGTTCAGTAATTTTTTCCAACGAATACTCATACTTTCATCTTTAAACGGAGCTATTTTTGAAGGGCATTGTATTTTGTGTTTCTTTTCTGTGACATCTCCAGCGGTCCTCTCAGAAATAATTTGTAATTTGGGCGCAATGTGCCTCGGGGGGGCCAGTCGCCGCGCGCGGCCGTGCGGCAACAGGAAATTCGTGAGCCAGGGGGAGTGTAGCCAATTCAGGGGGGTTGGGGGTGAGGGCAGTCACATGACATGCGTGAGAAGCTGGAATGTTCCGTGAGAAGCCGGAATGTTCGAATTTCCTGTTGCCGCACGGCCGCGCGCGGCGACTGGCCCCCCTCGAGTCCACATAGCGCCCGTATTTGAACTAAGGTTATTCACAAAACCATCTCAAATGTGAGACCTCTGATTCGTTTATTCTTACCTGAAATGTGAAGCTTTTGTGCTAAAGGAGGATTCCACGATAAGTACGAAGTTCGAAGAAGGGGAAGCTCACCTAGTGGAGAGACACGGCCGCATAAGGATGGGTTGACACGCAGGTTGCATCGAAGGATATGCCCTGGGCCATCTAGTATCGTATTTCCTTTGGCGCACTTTGCCCGGAACGCACACACGACTATATAATTGGTCCCCGATCTATACGCGGCGATTGATTAGATATCAGACGGAACGTTAGCATTGAAGAGGACGCAACGATGAGAGTCACATCAATGCGGAAATTGATGGGGAAGTTTCCGCGGTTTCGGGTTCCCCGCACTTCTTCGTGGTCTCTTCCCGCCTTTCATGCATCACACTACTTTATTTCAATAGTCTAGTTTGAGCTTAAAATCTGCCTTCAAGGAAAATGCCTAAACTAGGGGATAGGGAGCTTTTCGAATTCCTCACAAAGTTCCTTGGACTCTCGATATTTAGTTTCGCTTGCCTGTTTCCTAATTTTCTTTTAAGCACAGTAATACTATCGTGGATGGGTTCTATGTCATGCTTTTATTCTTAGTTACAGTATATCTTCTTACAACTTTGCAGTACTGTAAAACTCATTATTGTTTCTTTTGCAGACCTGCCTACGCAAGAGCGATGCGTACTAGGAGTCAAAGTCGTGTTGGATCTCCAACTCGTATGGACAGCACTACTAGTGAACGGTGGGTCTCTATTAACAGTTGTCCTGAGGTTATCTAGACAGCGCTATATTCCTCAATTGTTGTGCTTTTGATACTGCTGGAGCTAACCTCTTCTCTCATATGGTAGTTTTATCTGGTACTGAGCTTCTCCGTAGTGAGATTGAGCTAAAAATATAGCCGATTCTCAAAATAACACCCTCCGATAAAATTGGGGGACAGCAGAAACAGAAAATGTGGATATCGAGTTGACTGAAATGAAAAAAAATCTCAACAAAACCCCTTTACAAGCGTTACAAGGCAATCTAAATGAGGACCAATCTTGGGATGGAAGCGCGGGGCGTGTCAAAAGACGGTAAAATCAGCCAAACTGCATCGGCGGCTACTGATGCTGTCTGTCCGCAAAATCTATTCATGCTATTCGCTCCTTAGGCCGCGTTCATAGTTCGCGACTCAGGAGATTAGGATAGTAGGCGACAGGATATTAGGATAGTAGTAGAGTAGGAGATTGCGCTGACAAGATTGGATACGTATCGATTGAAATCCGTGAATAACTTCGTATAGCTCTCCTCTCAATTAAATATATTTTTTCATAGTGTTCGCGCGCTATTTCGACTTTCCGGAGTCGTGAACTTAGGAACGCGGCTAGGCGCGTACGTGGCCAATACACAATGCGTATCTGAACTTCACGCCTAGCATTGGGGCGCGTTGACCAACAAGCGAACGGATCAAAGTTGGCGCCTATCCCAACGCCTTATAGTGTCTTTTCAAGAGCACTTTTTGCTCCAGCGACTTTTGATATCTTTTCGACTAGGGCTCATGCGTCTTTTCACTAGATTGGTAGCAATTGTATTGATTTATGATATTTAATGGGGTGTTGCTTCAAGTTGTTATTTGGGCCTTACTGCTGGATTATGTCCAGATTTGAGTAAGTGCATTTTGCATCTGAAGTGCAGCAGTGATACTTTGGCATAATTTGCACTAAATCCCATTTTTGAGAATAGCATCCTTAAATTGTGGTTGTTCAGTTCAGCAACGGGGAATGCATCAACTTTGTCAAACGGGTCGGTGGATCGACCATCGATGCAGCAGGCAGCAACAAATGCATCCAATCGTACATCATTTGGATGGCTCCCGCCTCAAACCGATACAAATCCGTTCAGTGGTAGTCTTCCTTCCGCGTCAAGCAATTCCGGTGTTCTAGATGCACATCGACAACACGGAGGTGAATTTTTTTTATTATCTTCGGCTGTATACAGCATTTACATGAATGCGCTTTGAAATAGGAACTATACAAAGTAAACCATTTTCAGAAGGTGTGACGGACAGTAGGCGGGCATCGACCCCAAGTCACTCTGAAAGAGACCAGCAGTCGCAGCGGCAAGGTCGGTTTTCAATACTCAATGTTGTCAGTTGATATTCAGCAATATGACTTGGCGCTTGACTAGATTATTTGACCTGTATTGAAATCCTTAGCGTTGGTCAACCATGCATTCTTCTCCCATTCATGTCGTGGTGGCATTTGAAGGCGATATTTCTCATACAAAGACTTTCGGTGTACAAGTCAGTCTTTACCCTCCCAGGCTATTTGTTATCAACCTAACGCCGTGAACATGAAAGACCTGGTTGAGCTCGGCGAGGTTCGGCCCGGGGTCCAGCTCCTGGATGTAGGTGATGCCACTTGTCCCGCGTACCGGTCCGGGGTTACCGAATCACCAGTGACATTGGGCTGTTTGAACAGATCCTATAAGATTTGCCTCTGTTGTTTCTGTCATTTGCAGTTGCATGTCTAATTTTACCAATATCAGCTCCCAATTGTTCAGATTCCACGCCTTCCACGCAGCCAAATGTTCCACCTCCGCCTCCTCCGATACGTCAAGACCCACACCAAAAAGTTGAGCCCCCAAGAGAGGAGATTCTGTCTCGCAGCCAAGAGGTGGTGAGAACGGTTTTCCGAGGAACCTGCTTTTCCTTTCTCCATGTCAATGTGGCAGAAAAGCTTCTAAATTCATTAATTTACTCAACACCTTGCTATTATGTTGCCTGTATGAAGAGTTTGCGAAGCAGTTCCCAAACCTCTTGCCTGCGAGAAAGCACTACCGCTGCGCTTCCTTGCTTTATAACTCCGTTCAAAAAATCGTTTAGCAGATCGGGAAAGACAGTTTTGAGCTTCAGCGTCTCGAGGCGAAGTGCAACCGCTAGAGTTTATCACAAATGGCCAGACCGGCCTGA